ATCGTATGGAAATACATTTCTGTCACTTCACATATCAGGTCGTTCCGAATGTAATGTCGTTTTTTTTAAACGTACGCCACATCTCGAGGAACAAAGATGTGTAGAAGATTCTGAAAGCATTCGATGCAGCATTTTATTCTTTTTTTAATGGCCATTTAAACACTGCACAAAATTCAATAACCTCTCGAAAAATTGTCAAAATCAGCAACCCATGCTTTCTAAAAAGACCAAATTTTTACAATTGTTTAAAATTTTTATAGCAAACCTCGGAAGGAGTCCAAATAATGGATGGATACGGCAAACCCTACAGGAAACTGCGCAATTTTTTTCTACTTCGCACAGCTCGCCACAATTTTTGTACAGATTTTTTGATGGAACCACCGAATTTTTGCAGGCTCGTCTTAGACACAAATGCATCAAACACCAATAAATCTTCGATTTTTGAAACTTACAGCGATGAATTATGGTTTGAAAATAATTTTATTAGGTTGTCCTGAAAGTTTTGTCCGTTTTTTCAACTTGTCATAAAAACACATAGAACGAAGATAGGGAAACGCTCTAAACACTATCCGACGCATCTTTTCCTCCTCTTTCTAACTGTCATGCTTCCATGCCGATTAATCTTTTGTTCACTGAGATAAACCCATGGTTTTTATTAGGGTGATCGGTAAAAAAATGGGGCAGCTTGATTTTTATTACATTTTGAGGTTTTTCGTTCTCACCAACAACAAGCTGGTTTCAACTGAAACGTCGCTTACATAACCGACCTTCGCCTATTATTCTGGCAACGCGTTACCGCTCCTCTCTCATAACCGTACGCGTGGCGCCATGAAGAACTCAGACAGGGTTTTTAGAGCATCGCTCATTCTTGAGCTGCTATACCGTAAAGTCGTGAAGCAAATGACACACTATTCGAAAGAGCTCTTCATGCTCTTCTAAACGATATATTTAATGCCTAAAATTTCTTTTCAATTTCAGGAAAAATTGCGAAAAAACCTGGAAAATAGCTATTTTTGGCGCAACAAAAAACCAAAAAATTATGTTTTGCCCTATATTTTCCGAAGATAGATAAAGTCTGAAGTAATTTGCATATGGATGGATAGAGCGTAAAAAGCTCTATCAGATGGTGCCTAACATGTGTTCACCTGCAAAGAATTGAATAACGCGTATCTTTGTTCACGAAGCTGTCAATGGTTATATCTCCTGACTTTGAAAGTTGAGGCCATCAAGCCGTCGTGGGTTTGGTGGCTGTCCCACCACCCACTCCAGTAGTGGTACTTTCGGTGGTCTCACACGTTTCACTGCGCAGATACTGCCCAAAGCTTATAACTTGTCAAAGTGACTAACTTTGCATTTCAGCCACTATAAAAATTATTACAGACGTAAATGACCTTATAAGGAATATTCTAAAAGAGAATAATTTATTCTAACATCTATCAAAATTGGGAAGTTCAACCACTTTTTTTTGAGAAATCTACAGTTATTCTCTAGGTGCCCCATTTTTTACAGATCACCCTAATACTATGTCCAAGTTTGGCAATTTTTCACAATCTTTATTTTTGACTTTCGAAAAAGCTTTGGCAACAGTTAGATAGAGCAAACAAAGGGCAATATAATGCAATTGCGACTTCTATAGCCAGCCTTGAGAATTTTCCAGAATTATTTTTCTGATGCTATCAAATTCCATTTTTGGTGATGCTAAAAGCCAGAGATCATGAAACGGCGCACAACTAAGGTGTTATTCGATGCAGCTTTTCCTCCTCTTTCCAGTGAGTGTATTTTCTCTCTAATTTGCGGGGTCCTTGGCGATAAAATTTTCATAATTCTTGAATTTGACCCCACCCCAGCGTGTACACGTAAAATGCAAAATCTTATATTTCGAAGCGGTAAACGCTCATTTGCTTCGTAAAGATAGTGAATAGTCGTAATCGACTTTTGAAAGCTTCAAAATCCGATATTTGTTAGTATTCGAGGCGTTTCTGTATTTTAGAACTTCGCAAAAGTGAAGACTTTTGAGAAAATCATCTTAAAAAATACTGAAAAGCCGGCTGGACAAGCCAAAAAATTGCCTTGCATTGCCCTTTGTTTACTCTATCTGAGGGCTAACAAAGGTCTTCCAAAAGTTGAAAATGAAGTTTGTGAAAAATTGCCAAACTTGGACATAGTAAAAACCATGGGTTCGAAATTTCGGCGTTTATCTCAGTGAGCAAATAAGTAATCGGCATGTGATTATGATAGTTGGAAAGAGGGGGAAAAGCTGCGTCGAATAGTTCCCGAAGCGTTTACCTACCTTCACTCCTCGTGTTTTTATGACAGGTTGAAGAAACGGACAAAACTTTCGGGACAACCTAATACAAACGAAATGAGCATTTACCTCTTCAAATTAATAACTTTCCAAGTTTCCGAAATTTCAAAGTACAGTCTGAGGCGCCCTGAAAAACCTGAATTATGACGATTTTACCCCGGAAATCTTGATGAATCAGAAAGAAAAAACAACTGGTAGAAAGAGGAAAAAAAGCTGCTTCGAATGACACCCGACTTGCTTGCCGGTTGTTGTTCTATGAGGTTTGAATTGATCAAATATGGAATTGGATAGTATTGAAAAATTGATTCCAGAAACTCTAAGAAGCAAGCTAAAAAAAGAAGAAATTACTTTGCGTCCTATAGGATAGGGTTTGCTCTATCTATAAATCGCTTGTGCTTCTTCGGAGAATAGGTACGAAAACTTGGAAAGATAGCCGAACTTGACCATGGTAAAAAGCAAGAATCGCAGATTTTGGTACTTTTTCGAGAGCTCATTGGATATTATGCAGTTAAATTACAACCATTAGAAAGAGGGTGAAATGCTGCATCAAAAGCTTCCAAGATGTTTTGAAAACCATGATTTCATGTTGTGTGGCGTTCATTTGAAAAAAGCGACATTACTTTTCGGAACGACTTAATATTTTCCATTTTTCTGTCATGGACGGATTTCCCGGTCAAAAATCTATCTTTAAGCATTGAAACATTTCCATATCATTGCCTTTCTTTTGTTTTTTGCCTTAATTTCTACATAAAACGCCTTGCTAAATAACGCGCTCTAACGCCCGCAGTTGACTTTTGTAAGTGGCTCGGTGTGCACCAAATGGTATTACAAAGAAAATATTAAGAATGTAATTTTGAACGCCAAATCTGCCCGTCGCGTAGCAGTTAAACGTGCTATAATTCGGAACATGCTAAAACGGCAGCGAACAGCAGTAGTGGTAAACGTGCGAAAAATCTCTACATAAAAATCTAAATAAAGGCCGATAACGGTATCGTATGTAATTCAATCCAAACGAGGAAAAGCGACAAAGTCAAAAGCTAAGGTTACCTAAAAGTATTATACAGTGCACCCTATGCCTACCACTCGTTTCTGAAAAGTCTCTCTGGCAACTAAGCGTTGCCTAATACGAGCAAATATCGAGGATGACGTCATCCTGATATCCCTCGACAAATATCAAAACACAATTGGTCCTAGTAGAGTATAGTTAAATCTTGTAACTCGCAGGTTTGCGTGACCGGTGCCTAAGGAAAGATTGACAAAAGTGGTGATAATCACAAAATTTAATGAGATGCTCCGCCAGTAACATTAGTGGGACCGGCCGATTACCGAGCATACGTATAAATGAACACCTGACCAGTGAAAGGAAACAGAGCATGAGCCCACTAGAGAAGCATAAAAAGATAGAGCACCGGTGTTGACTATGATATAAAGTGTTCAATGTTAAACCAGTCTCCAGACTTTTTCGAATTTTATTATCAAACGACCTTTCACTGTGACACTGCGTGCTGAAAGTTTATACCGTAATCCTGTTTCTACAGTAGCAAAAAGAGATTGGAGTTTCGCATCATACTGTGAAAATCTAATGAACTGTAGTAGTTGTAGTTCATACTGTAAAAAACTAATGTACTGTAGTATTGTAGTTCATACTGTAAAAATCTAGGGTACTGTAGTAGTTTCTTGGGACCCCCTGTATTGACTGAAGTGAGCTACAGAGCTTCGCATCGTACTGTAAAAATCTAGTGTACTGTAATAGTTGTAGTTCGTACTGTAAAAATTTAGTGTACTGTTAGTAGTTGTAGTTCATACCGTGAAAATCTAGTGTACTGTAGTAGTTTCTTGGGACCCCTTTGTATTGGCTAAAGTGAACTACTCTGCATTCTTAAATTTTTCTCTTTGTTATTTCACACCATTTTTAGTTTGTAATTCATTGTCGGTATGAGACTAGAAGACTGTATTCCTTCGTCAAATGATGTTTTTTCTCCCATCTTTTCGAGACAACCATACAGCACAGTGAAATTCTTACAAAATTTTCCTACGTACTCAGTTTACACAGAACAATTTTGAGTTTCGAGCAATCCATTACTTGCACTATCTCCCAATTTTGTAGATAGATTTTATTGTCCTTAAATGTGCTTTTGTTATGATCTATTGGCATTCTTCAGGTGATCCAATATTTTGATGCATGTTACGCGAAAGCGTGGAGATGCGGGGAGGGAGGGTGAAGCTGGAGGAGGATCAGGGGAAAGGGGTCGTACGGGATCAGGAGAGAGAGAGGGGGAATGGGCCCTGGATCACATCAACAGGCTTAGCCCGTCTCGCATTTCTCAAAAATGCCTTTAAGTAGTTGAGAGCTAGCGACTGGTGGCGAAAAAGGCTTTTGACAGGAAATAGAAAGCTAAGAAAATTTTGTCGGCAGGTAATACTTGAGTATACTTGTCGCAAACTCATCGGCCTTCATGATCAAGCACAGCCCTATACCTTTTGGTAAGTACCAGCATGTATTGAAAAGGGAAGGGGGCATTGAGCGCAATAGCAGCGGTTAAATGACCGAATGGCTCCCGCCGCGCTCCTCTGGTCCGACAAGCCATATATGTCCAGTTTGTGTGCTCGGCTTTCCGAAGAGCCCAGTCCACAGGTTCGCCTAGCCGAGTTTTTGTCTAGCAATAAGAATAAAGTATCAAGATTAACGTTGCAGCTATAAAATTCCCCGAATCTATTCCTCCATACTTGCAGAAATTATATCTAGGTATGGACATTTGTTTGTTTTCACTGATCAGATGTGCTTAATAAAGGTTCAAAAATGAGTCAGAAGAAATGCAAACAAGTTCTTGAAGACTTCAATTCTGAATCGGACGACACATTTTGCACTGCAGAAGGTCAGGAAAGAAACGTTTGTCATGTAAGTTACATTTTTTTATCAGTAAGCTAGTGCTATGACACGAACTTGTCTCACCTCCTTCCTTTCATTCTTAAAAAATGACAGAATTGCTAAACTAACATTGTGCTCATAAGAAAAGACACCTTACTCAAAATGGCCTTTCAAAAAGAGACTTACGAAGGTAAACTCAGCATAGAAGGCAGATCCCAATTATGTTGGCCCTAACTGCGGTGCATCGATTAAAACAAGTCGCGAGCTTCTTTTTATGCATGTTGGCATATTACCCAACTTGGAAAGCCTGTTTGTCAATACGTTGCTCAGAACAAGTGCTGGGACATCAAAATGACATCAGATCGCGTTTTTTGTGTAAATAGGTATTCAAAGCAAGCACCCAAATTATGATGTCGTTATGTCACTATGTCGACGCGCATGCAAATTTTGTATACGAAAACTAAAACGAGTGGCTTCCAAGTCCCGATTTCATGAAAACTAGGCATGCGCCGTATGTTCAATTTTCTACTACCCGTAATGTTTAAGAATGTCTTTATTTTATTCTAATCACGGCCTTACGTTTCGACTTCTTTCGTTTTTCTCAAAAATCGGAAGAACACCGCTGTTCGAAGAGTTAGACGAAAATTGAACATACATCAATAACGTGTAGAAACACTCCGCAGCTAGAATCAACATACTTGAAAATAACTTCTAAGATTGTTTTAAATATGTGTGCCACTTTTTAAAACCATAAGCTAGAAGCCTTTTCTTGTTAGTTAAACTTTGATCTTAGGCTTTAGCTTGCCTTGAATGCCCCATTTCCTCCTTGCCAATCATTAAGTAAGTTTATAGGTGTAACACCATTGATTTAAAAATTTTGCCTGGTCGCAACAAATCTTTCATTTTTGCAAGTAAAAATGTTTATACACCGGTTCAAAAAACTCAGTTGCAATGTTTTATTGTGAAAACCATTTTGCAAAAACTTTTTTTAAGTTGAGAATTGGGAGTGTTTTGGATGATGACGGTGAGTTGATGTACTCACAGGACAGAAAATCACGAATATCAGGTTGTTGCATAAGTGCGTAGCGTTTTCATAAATTCACAAAGTGAGCAATTTATAAAAATTTGGTAGATAATTTACGTTCTTTTGTTGCGCACGCAACCTTTGCCTACTTGCTATCAGATTTTCAACTCCGTTTCACAAAAATTCAGCGGGTCCAGCGGCAAAAAAAGTTGACTAACCAACGCTTGGAATCGTATTCAGAATCGAAACAGATTTTTTAGATCGTTTGCAAGAAAGCGGGACAAATGCTCATCCGTTGGGGTGAGTCTGAGGAGTAAGTGGATGTTGGGGTACCTAAATTTTGCAGGACAGTTTTGACAACTTTTGTACAGAGCCAATTTTTATGCAGAAAAATTCTTAACATCTGCTTTTTCAATTTAGGGTTCGTTCAGACGGTGCGGTTGGATTGCATATAATTTGGTCGACCTTTTCTTGTCCACCAATTTCTACTAAAGAATATCTTGCCGTCACCGAAAAATCTTGCTTAGCAGGCACCCGCTAACCCTTGTGTTTTAAAGCAATGCACTTTCTTTGTATATCACATGCAGAATTCATTTTCCGTGATCGGCAGAAAAATCTAAACAAAAACTCTTTTTGTGTAAGAATAAATAAGCAGGTGTCAAAATTGTTTTTTGCCATTTGAGAATTTTACCTTGGAAAACTGAGAAATTAGAGCAGAGCTAGGCACAGATCGTCTGGAAGCAGGCTGGAGACTCTTTTGGAGCGAAAGCAAAATAGAATCGTTTTGAACGAGTCGGGGCCGCACCAAGAGTAAGCGCCATTTATCCAAACACAAGCTTTTTGGAGGTTATGACAGATTGACTGCTCTATCGTGTATGGCCAAAAGTGTGCGCGATTTGAAAGCAAAAGATAAACAAATTGCTTGTTTACAGCGCACAAAGCTTCATATGACACCAAAGTTGAGTTGTATACATAGAAAATTACTTGCAAAAAAATTATGCAAAAAGATTTGGAAACTCATGTGAAGTATTACCTTTTCCAAAATAAATCCGTCTGCAGACAATCACCAGACGATCTGAGATCGTCTGGGGCATATGTTTCTGTAACTACACATGAGTTCTGGATATTTCTATTATGGACGGATTCCCCGGTCAAATATCTATCCCTAAGCATAAAGACATTTTCATATCGCCTTTCCTTTGTTTTTTGCCTTGATTTCTTCATAAATCGCTTTGTTAAATATCGCGCTCCAATGCCAAACTCTTGTGCATGCATAGTATTCAGCTCCAATTCCGATTTTCACTCTTATCTAACGTTTTTTCTTTTAGACTAGTAAATTTTTCTTGTTTTAATCTGAGTAGGTAGGTCAAAGGGGGTTTGTAAAACTTCTAAAAGTCAGGGGGGATTTCGTTTTCAAAAACCATAAAAACCAACTCGTGCCGGGCCCTTATTAGAGTAATCAGCCGTCTTTTGAAATCAGTGAATTTATTACAAACTTCTCGAGCAGCGATGACAAGAATGAAAACGCAGCCGCGGGTTATATCCAGGGTTGAGCGTGGGGTCAGGCGCGCCCGACCTGGGGGGTCGTACTGGGGTAAGGCAGAGGGGGGGGGGGGGGTCGTGATTAGGAATCGAATTCGTTCGATTGAGGAGATACTACGATTGAGGTGAAGAAGAAAAGCACTGGTGGAGAGCAAAGTTTAGTGGATATCGCGACCTCACCAGTACTGAAGGAATGAACGGTCTTAAACAGCATACTGATTGATTCCACAATCGAAATTTCGGCCAAAACTCAAATCTTCATCTTCTACCTTGACGTATTTTAAATTCATCAAGGAAGCTTGCTGTGTGAAATGGGTATCATTTCCGAGCACGTCAAATTACCTCTATGAGCCCTACAAACCATTATTACTGCATTATCTAGTGTTTCTCAACGACTAAAAAGCGTGATTTTCAAACATGATTAACTTGTTTTCAAAAGTGAGAAAAGTCAATTTTTTTGTACTCGTATAACAAAGTATTGTTCCCTACTAGTCTAGGCTAAAAATCGCGCTTTGTATCGCTTGCAAATAGTGGAGTAAGAAATAATGCCAAAATTCCGACCGGCGCGTTTTTCGCCATGACTGCTTCAACTCCACGGATTACCACAAGGCCGAAACAAGTCGAATCAAGTCCAAACACATACTGTGGAATCTTCGAGGGTTGTGCTAGCGATTCACATAAAACTTGAATAAAAAAGCTTCTTCAATGATAAAGTTAATCGGGTCAGGCGCAACCCCACAAAAGGTCAGGCCGCCTGAGCTTTTGAGGGGTTGCGCCTGACCCGATTGACTTGTTTTCAAAATCTAAAAATCGCTCCTTTTTTGCTATGAGTATTGAACTCAAAGCCTTTTCTTGCAATACTGCAAATTTGGAGCCAAACAATACACCCCTGTAGGAATTATAGCTCTAAAAGTAGGGCTATCCAAAATCCAAAACTTGCCGTCAAGTTGCGTGTGCTGTGCAATCGCAGAAAGTCGACCTACAGACCTCCAAAAAACAAGAACCTCCCAAAAACGGCTGATTTCTTCGAATTATCACAGCCTGAGGTCCCGGAGGTGAAGCAGAGGGGTCGTTTAGGGGCTTTCACTGGGAAGGGGTCGTTTTGGAAAGACTTGTGCCTGACCTCTTGCTCAACCCTGGTTATATCAAAAGGTCCTATCTAAGCTACTGTCCAATCTGCAGTACATATGGTGCACTCGAGGCTCAAATAATCATCTCCGATCGGACTTTGCTACGACTGGGGGAGGCTTGTACCGGCTTGCATGCTGTTGCAGGAGGAGGGGGGGGGGGGGGGGAGAGACGAATACCTTCGTTAGGCGCCGCCTTCATGAACTGCTGGTTTTAGCACAGTACGCCCTAGCATGCACGAAAGACTAGTAGTCCGTGGAGGCAGCGCCTTATTTACTCTTTTACCCCAGGGGAGGGGAGTGGGGGGGGGGGGGTAGGGGGAGGGGGAGAGGGAGGGAGAGGGTACCAAACTGATGAGCGCCCGCGTAAAAGCATGGAGGTCAATGTAAATCGATCGCCAAATACGCAAGCGGGCACAGATACTTGGACACTGCCTTCAAAGCAAGGTTATCACCGTATAGCGCAGTTGATAAAATAAAAATTTTTTATCGAGAAAACAGCAAGTTTCACAAGATAGTCTAAAGTAAACTGCAGTTCAAACTCAAGTTTGAAAACTTTGATTAATTGAGGTGCATTAGATAAACGTATACAGAATGTCCCAAACGCTAAACAAAATTTCAACTGATTACTCTCCTGCACATAGCTTTCACTAAAGGTAGCGTATTTTACGCTTTAATTTGATAAATTAAACAAATGAAAATCGCGCTTTTGTAAGATAACAACAGAAATATCCAGAATGGCACTAAGCCAGAAAGACGATAACTCTCTTAAAAAGAACTGGAAGTTCCGTTACTCGGTTTGATCAATATCGCTAATTTTCACGTGTAGGGTCTCAATCCATATGTCTCTAATTCAAAAGCTGAAATGTCGTAACATCATAACAGCGGTTTTTGTTACCTTAAAAAATTCAAATGAATGACATGAGCTTCACTATAAACACTTGCAAAATTACTTACTATCATCAGCAAGTATAAAGACCCCACCGGAAGATTTTACACTTTTGAAAGCTCTCTTAAAAACAAATATCAGGTTTCAGTGATGACAACCTGTGGAAACTAACTCAGAAAAGTGAAGGGCTTGGGTGATTCATTCCACACTTTGTGAAGCCATGCGGAAGATAAACTTTGCAGTATGCTATTCAAGCTCTGCGAGAGTTGATAATAAAACAAAGAGTGAACAGCAAATCTATACGCTTTGTTTCTCTACGAGGCTAAAATCCAAGAGGTACTACCAAAATACAAAAAACTCCCGGCTCCGCTTATTCCTCTCAATAATAGTTTCGTAATTAGCTCACTTACCTCCATCCCCATCTTCCCACCTGTGCCAACTCCCCGCC